GAGGTCTCAGCCGGTCAGAGAGTAAGATCCAAGTGGCGCAGGCTAAGGAGCAGGCCGGCAGCTTGAGACTTCGAAGGGCTTAAGGCTTAAGAGTTTCTACAGTACTTTTTGGGGGTCTAGTTCTATAGGGAGGGTTTAGGGCGTAAGGTTTCGGACTTTCTGCCAGCTATTCAGGAGGTTTTTGTAATGCTATACTTCTGAGTCACCGAGAGGCTTCGGGCTGAGGGCCTAGTCTCTGACGCTTGCGGTATGCTCCATGCCCCGTATGTGGGGGTACTTAGAAAAGAACGGGCCTTACAGTAAACCCTAAACGGTTGAAAGCTGAACACTAGGATCCTCATCGGAAGGGCCAAAAATGGGGTACACCAGTGTACGTACCATAACATACTGTACTGTACTATACTATGCTACACCACACTAAGTTTGACTACACTCTACAATAATACTATACGATACGATAGTCTGCCATACTAGGCGACGCAACGTGCGACACTATACGATCCTGTACGATAATAAGCGATACTAGGTGGTAACAGTACTATGCTATAGTATACTGTACGATACTATACTATGCCAGATTCTACCCTGCCTTGCTATACTTCACTTGCTACAGCAGACTACACCAAACTATACCGACCTATACGCTATGTTTTGCTGTGCTATGCCATGCCATGATGCTGTCCGATGATACCCCATCCTATACTGTGTGTGCTGCGCTAGACTACCCTGTAATTTGTTGTTTTGAATAACCATACTATGTTCTGCTCTATTATACTGTTCCTTGTATGCCTTATTTACGTACTAATCTGTTTTCAGCTTCAGGGTTTAGGCCAAGCACTTCTGCTAGACATGGCTTGGGTTAGAGGTTCCGCATTTCATAGGTATGCTCACGCCTGCTTTCCGGCTTGGGGTTTTGCGCCAGCATAGCTTGGTAGATGCCGAAGTTTCGTCCATAGTCGTAAGAGTACAACATTTCATGTAACTCTGGACCCGAAGCCCCAGACCCTCAGCCCGGAATCCTCAAATTTGCAGCCTGAAGCCCGAACCCCAAAGTCTCCCTAGCCGTTGGGTCCGTTTCTGAACCCACGGAAGGTTGCTCTCATGAATCTGGGTTTGCATCCGTAGGCCTCCGCTGCTGAAGGCGATGCGGTTTTGGGATCCTACACCCAAAACCCGCACGTGAGGGACATTGCTTCAGAGTTGGTTTGGCTGAATCCTCCGCCTTTGTAGGATGAGACCGCCAACCCTCCATGCTGAACCTGAAACCCGGTAGCGCTGCCCGCCTGCCGCAGATTGCCAAGATCCTCAAAGTGTGGGAGGCCTGCCACCCCTGGAAACTCTGCAAGTCTACAGGTGTAGAGCTCAAGGTAGCGATTTGGTGGTCCTTTAGCATACTCGCCGGCCAGCCCAATAAAGATCACAACGAGTAGGATGCTTGACATCAGGGCCTGAAATGGGGAGCCTCTAGTACGAGAGGTTCAGGGCGATTTAGGGCAGGGATTAAAATCGAGGTCTGGATAGTTCGTGCTGATGTAGCTTTTTTCCCAAGGGTGCTAAGGGGTTTGTTTCCCTTATTGTCCCTCTTACGTATCTACTAGAAGATGAACCCTATACTCACTTCTACACTTTGTCGCTCCTACATCCAGGCAATCCCCGACACTGTGACACCCCATGAGGGTTGCAAAGCCTCCCACAAGGCCACAAGAGGAGACATCTTTGGGCTCCTAAATTCATCAAACAGTGTAAAGACCTAGATGCCTCATCAAGCCCTAAACCATAAGCCCTACACCCTGAAACCCTTGCTTCTGCTCAGACAATTGGGCAGGGGCACAGGAAAAAACCCAATCTAGGGGCCTTGCTAGTTAGAAGAGGGTTTAGGGTTTTTTTTTATACTATAATTATAGAATAAGGAACCCCCAGAACTCTACTCTAATTATTAAGGCCCCTACATTAAACCCTTAAAAACCCTGAGGACTGGGGACTCTTTCCTCCGCAGTTTCTGCGGGGTCTCGAGGTGGGCACAGAGGAAAGTTGAACGGGGTTTCTTAGAGTTATGGTACTTGATGTAGGGGTGGAGGAAAAGCCCATTCTAATACTTGGAGTCTACATAAGGCGTCCCATAGTAGCTGAAGTTGAAAGATGGGCACTTTTTGGCATTACTTTTGTGTTGAGGGTTTAGGGTTGCGGGTGTGCATGGTTTGGTTTACGATTGGGGTCGACAAAGTGCCGTATTGTGGGTATTGGGGCTCTGGAGTTTTGCTTCAGGTTATGTGCCCTCGAGTTCGTCACCCGGTAACCTTGGTCGCAGGCTTTAGGTTTTGCGGCTTAGGGCTAAGGGTTTAGAGCAGCCCTTGACGAACCAGAGCATGGATGAGGCATGTGTGAGTTTCAGCTACCGTTTTCGTTTTGATAGGTACTTACAGGCAGCTACAACTTGTGTCTTTCCTGAAAGATCAGAACCGCAACGGTTTGAAAAGGCCTAGTGTACAATTTCTGCGGAAGCATAAGCGGCTATACCACAGCGCCCTCCTCTGAACATTGATGTAACTTACCTGGCCCATGCGTGCCAGGCTTCCGTAATGGTTGGCGTTCGTCGCCTAAGGCCGGCCCATCTCACGGCAATCGGAGGGTGTACTGTCTAATATAGAGGCATAAGAAGTTAGCCTCGGAGAGGGAGCCCGGGTACTTAGCCAGCATACCCGACCTAAGCCCACACAACACTAGTAGCAGCAATAGGTCAGGCTGTTGGTAGAAGACGCAGGACAAGGGAAAAGAGTAGGGGTATTTACGGCCTTATGTACGTTTCGAGAACCAGCATTTTTGTCTCAGAATTGTGGTGCCAAGGTGACCACAAGGGGTAGGCATAATTATGTCATGTTTGTATACGTTCTCACCAACGAAGCCCTTGGGTCGGGGCCCTGACGTGCTGGTGCCTCCTTTGTTCAAAAACTGTCTCTTTGTTTCGGAACCCCACAGCCCCCGGCAGACAACAGCGGCTTGACTCCGAACTATCCCGCCGAGGTGTAGAGTCTAGAGTAGGGGTTTAATATTTGAGGATCTCGAATGAGGATTTCAGGACATTTGGGGTTTCATTTTTTGTGGGGCTGCAGGTCTGAGAGAGGAAGTCTTAGGTGCGCTTGCGCAGCACCCAGAAGCTTTCTCATTGGTCCTGTTCGCTCACAGGGCCCTCGCGAGCAAGGGCGATTCTTCTCGCGAACCTGTGTGGCACCTTCCCCGGCGCATTTCATCATGGTGGGGATTGTGCTGAATTCAGTTCATTTTGCTAAGAGTACCAGGACCCTGAAACGAAGTGGTACGTAGAGAAGCAGCCGTCTAAGTGGCGCGGCTTCAAGGGTCCCGAGCTTAAGATGTAGGGGCAGTTCCCGAATTTGGGTGTAGTCCTTCAGCTTCAGGACTGCATGGGTTGTTCATGGCTTGGGGTTAAGGGGTAGAGACGGCTACCTAGATTGCATTCGCAGAAGCACGTAAACAATGCGATGTTGTGTTTTACATCATATGAGGCGCACCGAGACGCCTCCCAAGTCACGCACAACCCTGAACTCCAAACCCTTACCCTGGTTTAGGGTTTATGATTTAGGGTCAATCCTGAACTCTAAACCTTGCGACCCGCTCAAGAGATGGCACGACCCCTCTGTTGTGCCGTCACAGCTGCTGAGGGGCCGTTCTCCGACATTTTTGCAGGTAAGTCCAGGGTCACTGGCTCACCTTGACTAAAGCAACATGTATGACAAGCCCATGGCTACTTGTTATGTTGAGACCTTTGTATACTATCATTCCGACTCGTTCCGGGTGCTTGCCCTACAAGGCTCTACAATATTGCACGGGCATGGAATATCCGACCGTGACCTTTCAGTAGGAAGCCTTCGTAGCGTCCTTAGTCACTCCCTCGATACTTATTGTAATCCAGTTCTCCCTACACCCCTAAGCCTCAATGCCCAAAGTCACAAGACCCCAACATGCCAGAGCGAGGTTAGAGCCCAAACTGGCAGATTGGAGGCGGCAGCATTTCTCGCAGGCAGGGCCCTTTTTTAGAGGTGTTTGGGCTTATCTTGGATAGGTCTCTCTTCGAACCAGTTCTGTCTTTGCAGGTCCTGCGGTGAAATTCTGGTCTTATAGACAGAAATGGGTTTCTTGAAGTGAAGCGTTCTTCTGCATGGGTTTCAGGTTTAAAGGGGTATGTAGATGCAAGAGTCCATTCCTAATTCTACTATACTATCGACGAAAGTCCCTATTCTAACAAAGCCCCTGTATTGGTGGGGATTTCACGAGCCTCATCGGCTTGTTTGCTTGTGTTTTCTAAACAGGAATTTGTGGGGCCGTGGCAGGAAGACTGTGTGTGGTTTTGGAGTAGTTTGTGGATGGCATGCCTTTTTTTCAGCCTTCTGTTCAAGCGCAGCATTCCCCGTATACACCAAAACATCGCGCAGCACTGCAGCACCCCAAGACCTATACCTAAAACCCAACAGCCTCCCCCAAATCCCAATTTCTGCAAGCTTAAACAGCAGAGAGCAAGCCCTGAACTCCGAACCCCCCCCCCCCAATCCCTAAACCCTAAAACACAAAAAAGCAAGATTCAAAGCCCAAAGGCCTCAAGCCCAGAATGGAACCCTGACAGTTGGAGAAGATGTGCCGGGCACGGGGCCTCCGGGGCTCCACTGCGCACCTCGAGGCCTCTGCGCAGCCGGGGGGCTCAGTTGTTTAGAGGTTGGGGTTTTAGGGTTTAGGTGTTCCTGAGCCCCTGCGATTTGCACATTCACATGCTCGCATCATGCTTGTGGGGTTTCTCTCAGTGCCTTCCTTGTCCGAGCCTATCGGCTCCAGGCAGTTCGTCTAGCTTCGTGCAAGTCGGTTCCTTCAGCAGTATGAACACATCTGCCACTCTTATGTTTGTGGTAGGCTTGAACGGGCTAACTCTCGGCTTCGACCCTTCGGCATCGTTTCAAGCTGAGCCGGAAAGCCTTGGCTTTCGGCTTCGCAACATGGCAGCGGGCGAGGGCCGGGAGGAAATGGTGGGGATCTTCTTGCGCAATATCCCTGCGAAGTGTGACCAGGGAATCTTGTGCAGTTTCCTCCACACAAAGGGTCTCACAGATTTTGAGATCGAGATGGCGCTTTTTCCAGATGGCAAGTCACGGGGATTTGCTGTGATCCATTGCTGCCAAACGTGTGTTCAGACGTTCGTCGGCAAAGTTCACGGAGAGTTCGTCCCGGGTTTCGGAAAGACAACTCCACTTTACTGCGAAGCATTCCGCGGCAAAGGCCCCCGGAGATTCCGTCAGAGCACATGCGTCCTACTTGGAGAGCCGGCACTGCCCGTCACGCCCGGACCCTGTGGATGTCAGACGAGCGCTTTCAATCCAAATACCATGGAGGCAGGTCATGTTGAGCCGACTGCATCGCCGACTGCTTCAGGCAGTCCTTCAGAGACCGTGGACCTGCGGCCAGCTTGCACGATAGTATTAAGCGCCGAGGGGAAACTCAGCTTTTTCCTCTAGGCGCAAGGCAAGTCGTCAAGTGGCTGCTTCCTGGGTGAGAGTCGACGTCTTACCTGTTTTCATTAAGGGCGTGTGCCAGTTTGTTTTCTGGATGTTCACGTCGAGTCTTCTCTTAGTGAGCAGTGAGCTCTCTCGGCTGCATGTTCGCTCGCGTGCACGCACCGACTGGTTTCAAAATGCATCAAACCTCACACTATCGGAGATTCTGTAATCTTTATTTTCTGTCTCTGCCTTCGAGGCAGTGTCAGAGCATAATGGCTTCCCCAGAGCTCTAGTGCGCCGGACGAGATGCAGCCCTGTGACCATGAGGGTATAGTTTAGGTTTCAAAACAGACCCGAGCCTCTGAATCCTATAAACTCCAAATCTGGTTGAGTCTTCTGTGATGTCCGTGAGTCGATGTGACCAGTTTGCAACTGCAGGCAGATGTGCATGCTCATTTAACAGCTGTTTGTGCCACCGCACAGATGACGGCACTTTCAGTACTCAATAAAGATTCTATCACAATTCGTCTGCAAGCCTAATATGTGTGCAAGATGATCAAACCCAGTCGACAGACCATGGCAGGTTTGATCTAATGACTTAAATTCGAGCACAGTTTGTCTCTCTGTCAAGTTTGAATTCTGATGGCTTTTTGGGCAAATAACGCGCGTCGCCTTGGATCCAGGAACTCCAAACTATCTAGAAACACTTTCGACCTGGTTTCGCCTGAGTGTGCACCAGCAGCGAGTGAATGATAGTCAGGGTTCGGAGGTGAGTTCCGGAAGGCGGGTGCTCCCACAGACCGTGCCTCGCAACCTGCGAACGCGGTTTGCTGCAAAGCCTTTCAACTTTAAGTCTTCCGTGAAAGTCGTTTGTGGCGCGTGCCAGAGCGGAAATTGGCAACAGGTTTGGGCTTTTCGGTTGGGGGATTCCGTGGTTTACGAACCCTTTGCTGTTCCAATATGGGTCTGGGGATGTGCTTGATTTCCAGGACTGTGAGCCATTGGGCTCGCCGCTACCCGTCATGCTACTCCCAGTAATTATCACAGCGTAGTTCCGCACTGGGACCAGAGCCGCTGTGCACTTCAACATAAACATTCAGCCCCTGAATACGAAACCCAGCTCCCACACCCGCACACCAGATATCGATCTGCATCCTAAACCCCTCAGCCGCAATCCCGAAATCCCGAATTCAATGTCGAAAACCAAACTTCAACAAGCAATAAGCTTTACACTTCCAGAAATCTGATTCTAGAGCGCTCAACCCGAAACCCTAAGCCCAGGGACCCTCAAAGGGAGAGCCCGAGGCTCAGCTTGGAAGAGGCGCGCAAGGAGTGGCTCATCGACCGGCTCGCCGAGCTCTTGGTGTTCGGGGTTCGCTGGGGTTCGCTGTAGGGGGAGGGTGCGGTGGGTTTAGGGTTCAGGGTTTAGGAGTTTAGGGTTTAACCGGTTGTGGGTCGGGGGCTTTGCTTGAAGGTGGGCACTGGGTTCAATTGTTTTCTCAATTCGGTTGGTTTTTGGGCCCTAGGGGTTAGAGATCAGGGTTCGTGCGGGGCTGTACTTGGGAGTTGGACCGGGAACCCAAATGCAGACCCTGGGTCATCAGATAGGAGGTTTTGTTGGGCTTCATGAAGAGGTCCTATAAGATCTACGAGGGTTGCGTGACGGGTTTGTAGGGGTTCATGGGCTTAGGGTTTGACAATTTTTTGGTGCGGGGATGTGGTCTTGATGGGTTTGTTTCAGCTGCTATTAATAGGAAGGGTTTTCATTGATTAGGGCTCTGCATAGCAGTCTCGTGGGATGAGGGTTTTGGATCTCGGAATCTATGCTGCATTCCACGTCCAGCTTTTCACCACGTCTTATTTCTGTCATGTCTGAACTGTACTGCAAGCTTTCGAGTAGGCTCTGCCTTGGCAGCTCGGTCGGTATGGTGTCAGGGCAGGCATTCTTGCAAATGCAGCTCCCAGTGCAGAGGACAATATCTGCTTGAGCTATGCCATGGAGGTTGTAGCCAAACTACCCGGGTCTACTGTTTGCCGGGAGAAGGAGGGTGAGGTCGTCGTCCCTGAATGCTACAAGTTTGGCAGAGGAGCATACCTTGCTTTCAACTAGCCGGAGAACACGAGGTTCTCAGGCTCCGGGTACAGAGGACTAGGTTACTCTCGCCTCTGTCCCGCCGCGTCCGCTGGGATGCCGAATTCGTTGAACAACACTCTATAACTTCAAGTTTGATCTCGCCACAGTTCTGCACACATGTCGGGTGAACGTCGTGCTCCTGCCACAGTCTCATGAGCCGTCAAGTCGCTCGACGTCTCTAAAGTCATAGCACCCTACCTGCCGTTACATGAGGTTTTGTAGTTTTTGGGTGGTGAGGCGTTGTCCAGATGCAGTGTCTTCTCTGTGTTTTTTGGGTGTCTACGCTGGCGCAAGCTTTATTGTGAGTTTTGAGCCCGGTAACGTGCCATGCTCTGTAAGACGCGATTATGGAAGCCCCAAGAACTCCCTCTCGCGCTGGCTCTATCTGGCTCTCGTCGTCCATCTGGATACATACCCAGTGCGAAACATACCGCCAGCCGTGTTGTGTGTAGGCCTGTTTCCCCTTTACCTAAACCCAAAAGCCTGCCTCAAACAGTAAATCCGGAACCATTCACCTTGAACAGACCAGGTGACCTATGAGCTGCTAGCTCATGAGAAGGAGCAGGCGGTCACCAAGGGAGCGTTCTACAGAAAACAAGATAGCCAAGCCTAAGCTTATCCAGTTTCGAGGGGGGTGTCTGTTCTGTATACAGTCTGGTAGGGTTCTGAAGGGGCTGAGATGGTGTAAAGAGGTCTGGGCGGCTGATCAAGTTGCACTACGTGGGTTGTTCTGGCAGAGTTCGTGGGCATCCAGCGCTGACGCTTCACTTAGTGTTCGCCACTCGTAGCTTCGGGTTCGCTCGTTATACTTGGAGGATCGTGGACTTCATAAGTAGGGTTGTGCTGAGGAATTGGGGGACATATATATATATATATTATACATATGTATGCATATGTATATGTGTATATTTATGCACCCACCTACAAAACCTATATAAATTCAAACATGAACATAAAATGATTCAATCAAACTTCAACCAACACTTTCAACTCGACGCACTAAGCCCTCACCGATCTTCCAAGTAGCCGCATACCGACTTCTTGGCCGGCTTGCGGCTTTCCGGGCCCGGGCTTTAACACAAACGCCGGAATACCATTCTACATATTCAGGCCCCTGTGTTAGATGTGTGTGCAGCAGATAATGTAGACTTCCTATAACAGTTAAATGCCCGTTCTTTAAGGGCCTTACTGTCAGAATTCTAGGAAGTATGTTCTTTATGAGGGGCGGCGGGTTCATTCATCAAGGTCTACANNTCTACATTGCAGCTTTCTGGAGTCTCATAAAGGTCTTATGAACTCGGGGCATCTTGGCCGGAACCTGCCAAGACAAGAACCTCTTCGAGGTCTGCCCCACTTCATGCCTGTAGGGACCCCGCAACAAAGTGCGGTTTGCCAATATCCGGACCCGCAGTGCTGAAGAGAGCCCTTCGACATAGGGCCTGAGCAGCCAGAATCAGGGTTGGGAGATTTGATATTCTAAGCATACAAAGAGCCCCATGAAGTAGCACTTGTAATCATTCAGGCCCCCCCCCCCCCCCCCCCCTATAGTACATCCTTTGTACGCCCTCGTCAACCTCGTAGATACCCCGTACCAGACCATTGCCACAAGCGTTAAGCAAAGGGCTATCCTAAACCATCCTCAACCACCCGACAGTACACCCTAAGCCTAAAAAGGGCTGTAGAATTGGATGTAAATGCCGTACACACCGAGAGTCCCAATAACATGGGCTGCCTGCTGCCTTAAGCTCTAAGCCCTAAAGCCTGAAAGCACCAAGCAGCCAGACGCTAAGGCTGCAAAGCCTACACCCTAAACCCGAAAGCCGTCAAACCCTTAACCGTCAAAGCCAACTATGCATCCCGAAAGTCTGGAACAACGAAAAAAGGCCAAACACACGTAAACCTGCCAAGCAGCTCTAAAGTAGTTGAAACACCCAGAAAAAAGGTCTGGAGCCCCCAAGACTTCTACTCCTGCGCAGCAGGCTCGGATGCTGGCGGCGAAGGAGGAAGCTGCAGCAAGACTCGCCAGGCCCCACGATGATGGATTTGCGTGAAACCCTAAAGCTTTTATATGACTCCCGAACCCGGAACCCCGAAGTGCTTTAGGGGCTTGCAGTCCCTCCGGCAAACTGTATAGGCTTAACCTTTGAAGTCATTCTGCCCGCGCCCTTAACCCCAAACTCGTTGCCGGACGGAGCCCGGCGGGCCTTTATTCTTTTCGCGTGCGCCCTCCCCTAAGAGCTTTGGATCCGTGATGATGAACATCCTTACATCTCGAACCGCCGAACCTTAGGCCCTGCAGGTGAGGATCCGCCAAGGTCCTGACAGCCCAAATCCGAGACCCGAAGCCTTCAGCCCTCAACCCCTAAGCCACAAGCGCTTTCCATGTCCAAAACTTGGCAAAGACTTGGTTCGTCCTGGCGCCAGGCGGAAAAGCCGCGGGATGGAAGACATCGATGGCGAGGCTGCTTTGGCATTGCTGCTTTGGGCTTGCTACTGGCCAGCTTGTTGTCAGTTTACTTGTTGAAATCATTGTGAGTAGCGTTGCTACCACTGCCACTGGGACGATCGGTGTAGGGTTTGGCGGGGCTCATGCGAATTGCTGCTGTTGCTATCATTACCGCTGTTTTAATCTGTGTGTTTACTGGCAAGACCATTAACAATGAGTTTTTTCAGAGCACTATTGTGACTTTGCCCGTTGCCGGTATTATCGTTACTGCTGCGAGTGTGTTGTTTACTTGTATATGGGTAGAATTAGACCTACTGCTACCGTTTCTCTTTTGGTTCATGTGATTGTGGTAATGAGTAGTTAGGTATGGTGGTGGTAGTTGGTGGTGGTGGCGGTGGTGGTTGAAGTTCCAAGCGATAGGCGCTAAACCATCCATTT